ATACATCCCGTTCCCTGTCAGATTTATATTATATTCATTGCCCAATCGAATCCTTCATCTTATTAGTGTCCCACTTCTAGCTATTGGACTGTAAATATGGCTAATGCTCTTGTAGTATAGCTTTAGGCAATTGATTTTTAGTTGGTTAGTAATAAAACCTGACCAAACTTGCGTACAAAAGCACTTTGATCAAACATCACGCAAAAAAAAATATATATATATATAATATGTTGTTGCTTTCCACCACCACAATGATAAAAAGCCTAAATTAAAGACATAGTACTTTTTAGTGGTGTGGATATGATTTAGTTAGTGCTACAAGTGAAGCGAACCACACTGCCCACGCAATGCAAGTAATAACATTGAGAATAATGACTTTGCCTGGGAGTGATGCGTTTCAAAAGCCATGTAATATGCAGATCACCTTGAATATAGAGCATTTATAAAAGAAAAAAGGTGCTCCTCAGTATATTAGAGATGCTTTTTCTGATACATGTTTAATCTTACTCTCTGTGTAGTATACGTGCGTGTGGATGTGTGGAATAATATGCAGCGCTTAGTGTTTAGATTTATATTTATCCAACCATCCAGACATGGTCAAATGCAGCCTGGTAGTCAGTTTGAGGTCCTTGGTCCTTCAATGCATCGCAGATGTTTCATTTGTCGAGTGCTTTTTACTCGAATTGAAGATCCAGGTTATGTAGCACAACAAACACCACACAAAGCACACGTCAATGTCCGAGTTGTGAACGGCTGCTGTGATCATTGTTGTAATATTTGAGGTTCTGGATGGAGTTTCTGTTAGTCCTTGTGTTGCTGTACGTCTGTCCGAGAGCTATTGTTACAACCCCCCCCCCCCCCTTCAAGTAACACATAATCTTTGGGGGGGAAAAAATGATAGGTAACAGTCTTGCATGTGCTGTGTGTGTTGCTGTGGATTGTTTGTCCATGTATGCTTCCCTTTTACTCTCCTTTTCTCCAACGTGTCCCTCTTTACCACCTTTCCTACCTACAGGGCGACACTGGGCAGTAGGCAACCAAAGAAGGAGAACTTCTCATAGGGTTCTGAAAAAAAATAAGCTTAAAAAGAACATATATTCTAAAAGAAAAAGACATATACGTATACATATATATACAAATAGCCTATATATATATATATATATGAAGAAATGAAATATATTATTCTGTGTATTTAGGAGACTGAGATACTGCCACTCATCCTTCATTATTGATGTGTGCCAATATGTTAAATGACATCTTCAGGTAACCTTTGGCCTTATAGATGTCCTCTGGTAATAAACTATTATATGTATTTCAGAATTATGATACAGAGTAGCTTCCAATCAGTCATTATGTGGTCAGTCTATATTGTAATGTATGTCGTGTCATTTGGCACTTTACTGTGGACCTATCGGAGCATAGGTAAAATTTCTTATTACTTGGGTAATGTCATATATTTCTGTGTGTTTTATGTGGGGGAAATCTGCCTATGGATACAGATATGTACCTCCAACAGATCATGGCATCCTTTGAGTTGAATTGTAGAGTATAAATATGAAAAATATCTAGATTTTGAATTCTGTGCCGGACAAAAAAAAGAAGAAAGTAAAGCGTATAAAAAGAGGAAAATAAACGTATATGAAAAGGCATAATTTATTTTAAATCTCATAAATCCTTGAGGCCCTACCTCAGATTTTGTATTTATGTATAGAAATGCAATTTGAATCATAGTATCTTTGCCAATTATACAATAAAAGACCATATTTATCATAAAATGTATAACCTCTTAATCAATAAATAAATGTTAATGTTTTCAACTCCAGTTGTGTTCTTATGCCTGAGGAATATTTTGTTATAACACACATGCACACATTCAAAACTTACACACGCATGATGTTGGGTGATGCAAGAAACGTGTGATATATTCTACTTACAGAATGATAAAAAGGAAAAGAGTTCCTTGAGTGAACGGGAATCCACTTTAAAAGAAATCCCATACCAATAAGTGTATCTTTGATTAATGCACATTGAGAATTTGGCAAATATTTTCATCCATTTTTAATAAGCACTGTGCCCTCCTAAATTTGAGTGTTTTTCATATCAAGTTTATACTTGGTTGATAATGAAAGTTAAAAATCAAACACTAAAAAAACTAAAATGAGTTTTAATTCGATTTTTGATAGTTCACGCTTCCCTGAATGAGGAAATAAAATAGCATTTGATTTGTCATTTGAGCAGCTGTTTTGAGACTTTGATTTATTATTTGATCTTTTTAAGCATTTAAGTTTTTGTTTTAAATTTGTTAGGAAAAAAACTAAATAATAGGCCTATGTGACAAAATTGAAAATTTCATGGTCACAATGCACTGTCCCTGTCTAAAATAAAATGTAATTGGTGATTTGATGTTTTATTTTCACTACAATCTCTAGGCAAGACTGCCAATATTTAAAAGCACATGTGAAAAAAGATACTGCAAATATAATTTTTTTCTAAATGTTTCTAGACTTCAAAGCGTTTTGTTAATGCTTACGCAATAATATTGACATAATTTTTTACATTTATTTTGAAAGTCAGTCTGTATGCAAATTTTATGTTAATGAGAAGGTGGGGCTGAACTTATGGATGCTTGTTTCCACCATGGCTGAAATGACTGAAATAAGGCCATAAAACCCATACTGAATATTTGTTCACAAGACTTTTGAGAACTGGATCTTGTAGCCTAGAAGTTTTGCTTTTAAAATGATGTGAACATCATCCTGCCCCCTCATTCACATAGGTAAAACAATATATTGATTTTCAAATTAATAAAAACAACAACAAAACAAAGGTGAACATGCTTATATCAGGAACAGGGATGCACGATAAAAAAATAATAATAATAAAAAAATTGGTAAAAGAACACCAGGTTTGTTTTGACTACTTGTAAGGCTGCACAATTTGGCCCAAACATGATGTTCTTATATCAGTATGACTATTTTTTTTTATAATGTCATATGTCATGTGCTTGTATTGTTTTTTTTTTTTGTTTCTTTACTTTACTTTCTATTTTATTCATTATGTACAGCACTTTGGTTCCACTTGTGGTCTTGAAAGTGCTCTATAAATAAAGTTGAGTTGAGTTGAGTTGAGTTGACCAATAATAATAATTATGTATTAATAATTAAATAATATAATTTATGTTTCACCTAAAAATCACACAAATGTGTGAGGTGGCGAAGAGGGCTTTGCTCTCTGGAGGTAAAAGACCCACATTATTGATACAAACACTAACTAAAGTAGTATGTTTTGCATAATATATAATACTTATATATAATATATAATAATATAATACTTTTTCAAAACATCCAACAAACAGTTTGTACTATTTTCAGTTTATTTTAATAAATAAAGGACATTTATTTTTGTTTGAATTAATATAGATATTAAAAGAAATATTTAAAAACTATGAAATGAGGAAGCTTTGAAGGAGAACCCATAAAAATGTAATATGCATGACGCTGAATTGAAACATTTTAATTCTTGAACTGCTTCACCTTTGCAATTTCGGTTCTCAACTGCAGGTGGAGCTAAATAGACGAGCATTATCATCACTAAACAAGTGAAATTCTACTTCACATGGTTCAGATAAGCTTATTTGTGTGTTATAGTCACGTCACATGAACATATATATATATATATATATATATATATATATATATATATATATATATCAACAATCAACATTATACATATATATATATATAATATTGAGGGCCACACATTGAATATATGTTAAAGGGATAGTTCACTTTGAAATTAATTTTTGATATGTTTTAGCTTACCTCAAGGGCATCCAAGATGTAGGTGTCTTTGTTTCCACAGTATTTTCAATTTTGACATTTTTCAGTCAAACCGTTGTTGTCTATCAGTCATACACTGGAGGCTAAGGGGGTCCACCAAAAAGCATGCACAGAGAAGTCAAAATTAAACATGATTTAATGACTCGTAAATGAAAGTACACATTGATGGCGTAAGACACGAAACGAGCGGTTTGAGTGAGAAAACGAACAGTATTTATATCGTTTTTACCTCTTGTAATCATAGCCATGACAAAATGATCTGACGGCACGGCCGCTTCGGTCTGCGCATGCGCCTGAAGTGATCGCTTGCGCGCATTTCGGAAGTTTTACCTTTCACTAAACATATTTAGATATATGGGAAACCGCAATGGAAGACGATTTAAATATGTGGAAGACGATTTAAATATGATCGTAAACATATTTACGATCTAAATATGTTTAGTAAAAGGTAAAACTTACGAAATCTCCGTGTAAATATTGAGTGACGTCACACGCAAGCGATCACTTCCGGCGTAACATTGAACTGCTTCAGTTCGGTTCAGTTGGACATTGCACAACTGATTCAGATTACTTGGACGTCACTGTGATTACACGAGGCGTGATTCATTACATGATTAATTAAATCATGTTTAATTTTGACCTCTCTGTGCATGCTTTTTGGTGGACCCCCTTTGCCTCCAGTGTATGACTGATAGACAACAACGGGTTGACTGAAAAATGTCAAAATTGAAAATACTGTGGAAACAAAGACACCTACATCTTGGATGCCCTTGAGGTAAGCTAAAACATATCAAAAATTAATTTCAAAGTGAATCCCTTTAAGTGTAGTTGTATTTTGCCCCTCTTAGTCATTAACATAGTAATGTAAATTGCAATATTTCAGTTTTGATTCTCTGATCACAAGTTCACTAATATAAGACATTTCTTTGAGAAAGAATAAGGCTCTCAGCAACTAGAAATACATTTCATGAAATGTTTTTCCACCAATGAATTTAAAAATTCATTCAGTGTTTATAACTGTTAGGCTTGTTGTGGATAAATATAGAATCAAGTTTTTGTAAGGCAATGGCATTTCTTTTATTAGAGCGCACAACACCATTAAGATACAGTACATCAGATACAACTTTACATCATTCATTTAAATGTTACATCACAGAATTATTATTTACTACTCTGATCTCTAGCAGCTGAGTACACTACATTTGTGCATGCACTTTCAGTCTCATGTCTGTTTGCGTTTCTTCCAGGGAAATGTACCGCTGCGTAACTGAGCTCCACTGGTACACCCTAAAACCAACACCAACATACTCAATACACATAGATAAATTAATAAAACAAAGCAATGTCGCATATTTTTAATTTTACCTCATTAGCAGGAGACGAAGAAAGCGTTGTTTGTAACGGCCGGGTTTCTGCGAAGAATGTGTTATTTCATGATATTTACACACTTTGGTATGATATACGTACATGTGTATTTTGCAGTAAGCATTCAAGGAATCAAACCTCTTAATCACATCTCAATAATTAAATTAACATTTCATTATACCTTACAGTAAAACTATAAATTCAGGTTGATTTAATTTAATCTTTTGGACAGTAATGCTCTAATTAATCAACATTATCATACAATCTGATCTCAATATTCTTAAAATGCAAATGGCTTACCAGAAAATGTTTCTTGTCGTTTTTGTGCTCTCTTACATAGAAGGATGGCGATGATCACCAAGCACAATATATTTGTGACTACCAAAGCTGTGACCTTTAAGTCAGTCCAGGCCAACTCCGAATTTGGTTCTAAGATTTAAAAAAGTCTAAATATTCAAACTGCAATTAAGTTAATTTAGTGTATCGTACATAAAGTATTTTCTCACCTCCAATTTCAAGCCTACTTCCATTTCCAAACAGTATCTCTCCACACATGGCCACAGCACAGTAGTAAGTCCCAGCGTCAGTTAAACTGAGATTGGGGAGATTGTAGATACAAGACTGTGAATGGGAATCTTTCTCAGAGCTCTTACTGCATTGATCATTTCTGTTTCCATGCTTGTAAAGGATTCCTGGATGTGTATCTCCTGATTCATGTCTAAACCAGTAGATGCTGTGATTCCCCTCACATCTTTCAGTAAGAACAGTACAGTGAAGATTCACAGAGTCTCCTGGGTTAAACTCTTCTTTTACAGATGTGCTCGAGTTCACTGCTGATAAAAACTGCTTAACGTGATGTTGTCTTGTTTTTACCCCTAAAATTAGAATAGGATTACACATTACTGTATATGCATTATATACTTTATATATATTGTTTTGCTAGGTTTGCTTACCTTTATAGTTTAAAAACAGTCCGTTACCGAAAGTTATATGATCATAGTCCCGAGCGCCGCAGTAATAGATTCCAGTGTCTGATGGCTTTAAGTCTTTTATCGTCAAAGTAAAATAATTATTTTTCTTTACAGCTGTCAATCTTGTGTCGTGCTTGAAGTCTCCATAAAACGTTGGCGTTAAAGCGTCAGCATAGAGACTGAGGATGCATGTTGGAGCTTCTCCCAGAGATTGCTTGAACCAGGAGAGGTAGTTCTCTTGCTCTTCAGGTAACAAGCACTCTAAAGTTATAGTTTCACCCGCAGCGAAGGTCTCCAGGACTTTCTTTTGAACGACACCAGCAGATGTGATGAAGCCTGAGAAGAAAAAGCACACGCAGGACCTTCAGAGCAGATCAGAAGAAATATAAGGTAAGATTTATCTCTCTTCCAGAGCAAACACACCTGTCCTAAAGAGTAGCAAAAAAATAAGAAGTTTTAACATAGTTGAGGTTCTCTGTGCATTTGGTAACATGGAGCGTTTGTAAGACGTGTGGGTGTGAAACGCCTAGGTTTAGAGGAGTCAAGCCTTGTTTTTCTAAATTTAGATGATGGGTCTGATTGGCTGTTGTGATTTTTCCGTTCAGGCTGTCTGACATATAGCATGCTAATCTTTTGCTTTTTTACTTATGATTGGAGTCTCTGTGAATCTTGTGTTATGATCAACTGGTAATATTTAATCTTTGTGAACTCTAATTTTCAGTAGTTTTTGAGCTTTCTTAAACAGCAAGCACAGAATAAAAAAAAAACAGGCCCAGTGTTATTTACTCAACCATATTGATAACCAGTATTGGTGCAACGGATCACTAAACTCACGGTTCGCATCATATTACGTTTTTTGAGTCATGGATTTTGGAAAATGTAAATGTAATGTAACTTTGCTTTTTATTAATTACTTAAAGCCCACTAAAGTACTCTGATAACATGTAGCAAAAATCTAGCTTTTAATAATTAAACATTGTTAAAGACAACTGAAAAGAAATAAAATGAGATCAAATACACAAGCATAGATGAATTTAATATAACAAATTTATACACTCTTTGTACACATATACACTCTTTAATTGACATTTAAACACAATTTAAACAACGTATTATGCTATTCATTGCATTAGGCTACTTCTATATAACATGTATATTAAGTTGCTCAAGCAAGTGGTAACATTTAACCATGTTTTATATTAAAATCACAAACATTTTAAATTAAAACTTAAAATTGACAAAAATTTCCATTTTCTTTTACATAATTTAAATCTTTTTACAATAAATCATGCACGTCACAAATGACTTGTTTTTCCACCTCCACGAATGAGACGAGTGTTGTTCATTATGTCGCCTTGATGAAGTAAATTGTAGTTTTCCGTGCTTTACCCCGGTAGTAAAGTAAAAAGATGATGAAAATAGTAGTATTTAATTAAATGCATTTATGGTGAGATTACTACATTTTATGTAATTAAATGCATTTATGATTCAATTTCAATTCAATTTGTGTTCATTTTGACCACGAACTATGCGCTGTCACTTTAAAGGGCATATTGCTGGTAAGAGGACCCAACGAGTCAATGCATAGAAAACTGCAAACAGAGTCTGTGTGAAACGGATGTAACAGTAGTAACAATAGTATTCTCTGTATTTAAATATAGATTTATCTTTATTAAAGATGTGTTTTGTTGTTTGATTAACATTAATGACAGCACCAGATTTGTATAGGCTGCTGTCACTTTAAAGGGATACTTCACCTCTGGAAAGATGAATGTGTATTTAAAATGAGTCATTTATGTAGAAGAAATGTGAAATTAGTTTTGAATGTGGAGCTTTTTAGACTGAGAAAAGCCAGAAAATTTATTTTTGGCTTATGTGGATGAAAGACAACAACTCCCAGAATGCACTTGCTTTGCTGCCCTAGGAGGCCATGACTACTGATAACAGAGCGCAGTAGTCAAACAACTGTCTATCTGATTTCTTTCTCAACCAAAGAGTTCCCTTTCACCTCTTCTTGTACTTGAATTGTTTAAAATCGCTTGAATGTGTAAATTGTCAAGAAAAAACATGCAAATTATAAGCTTTCACTGTAAGATGGTTAAACTTGGCAATTAATCAAGATGGTCCTCACTGCAGAACACGAAATTCAGGGGGAGGAAACTCCTCTCACCTTACATATACCTAAACTTACCCATCTCCGCCCCCTGATCCCTAACCCCACCCCTAATCCTACAAATCTCCACCCCTTAGATCTGGATCCAACTCCACCCCCTGGATCTCATGTACTGCAATGAGGTGCTACTGAATTAATCTGCGAATCACATGCTGCCAAACCGAGGGGCCTAATCAGTACGGATCATGGATCAATGGCGACCCATTGCACCCCTAATAACATCATACTCACAAAATGATGTTTAATGACTGTATCTAGTTTATAGTCTAGAAGTACAGTGTATTTATAGGAAACATTTGAATTTTGTCATAGTTCTCCTCATAGCTCATCCAGACATGACCTATTTCATCCTTGAATGGATGTTTGACACAGTTTGCATGCTTTTTATGCCTAATTAAAAATTACCGAATATCAAGTCCACTAACATGACCTCTAACAATAGTATCCTGTAAAACATTCAAATAATGAAATAGTGCCCCCTATGTGCAGTCAATAGAAAAACACAGACTCACGACACAAACTATTACAGCACATTTATATTCTCATCATTTCCCCCTAAATGTCACAATACTTCAATTATTATTTCCCTATGTTAATGACAATAACAGCAAATTTAAATGATCTAAGCATGTTAAAGTACAATACAATTTGTGTGCCACTGCATGACATTACAGGATAATATAAAGGTTCTTGAATAATCACACTTGTAGGGACAAACTAGTGGACAAACTCTAAGCATAGCCAGATCACAGTTGTCTGTGTTTTACTTTGACTCTTGGGTTTCACTGCATTAAGAGGATGAGTGGAAACTTTTACCCACTGAGACCTAAGCGCGCTTAAGGTTGTTTGTTTGTTCTATGTTACTTTCAGAAACAAAGGGTGACCGCAACCTATGCTCTGTGGATTGAATTCATTGTCTTATATATATATTTAGTGGGCATAAGTCGGTTTCCGAAACCATTAGTCAACATGTGAAAGGAACTAACAAGTGGTATGCATGCAGCTGCAGACCTTAAACTGTGCATTGTGAAAATATTGAGCCTTTAACACATAATAATAGAAATAAGACATAGTACTATATTACAGCACAATATGACTGTTAAATAATGGTGCTTGCAAGCAAAGAAATCAAGTTTCAGCTCTGCACAGATACACAAAATGTATTATGCATTGAGAGAAATATTGTTTAAAAGTCTGTAAAAATAGGTTACAATGTACTTTGTTAATTTGAAGCGTTCATTGTACGTATTGTGTATTGTGTACAATAGGGGAACAGTGACATTCCCTGAAATCCAACAGAAATCAATTTTAAAAGTTTTTTGTTTTATTTTTGTTAAAATAAGGCTGTCATACACAAAGCAGATAGTTATATACAACCATTGTGGTCTTGATTTTAGTATCGTCATAATTATTTTCACTTCTTTGATTATTTTTAGCACCATCAGCATGGGAAGTAATTAATACACAATACAAGCAATTGGAAGGACTTTTTTTGAAATGTCATATGACCTTTTAAATTCTTCACACATTTCAGCTTTAGTTTGCAATCTGTGTCTCTCTGGAGCATTGCATGCATTCTGCAGTATTTTAAACAACTATAACAAGGAACTACTATATATGCATTAAACATAAAAATAATAATATGCCATGTGTTTTGGGAATTTTTCATTTTTGACAAAGATCTGCATCTTAATTTAAAATTTTTGTACTTTCATACCGTTTCATAATCAAATTCTCAAGTATATATTTTTTTTCATGCTTGCTTGTCACCTCACTTATAAACAAGGGGTATTTTGCCTGTGGTTATGGAACTAGTGTGAAAGGCATTGTAGCGTGAATGTGTGGTTTAGCAGCAGTGAGGGGTGTGAGAGAGAAGCGAGGGGTCAGTCTGGTGGTGGAAACAGTCAAACTGTGATGCACTTGTTTGAATGCACAGGTTCACCCACTAGCATGCAGACATTTAGAAAACCTTTATATGATTTTTTTTTTTTTTTTATGAACATGGTCTACACATCACATTTTTAAAAAAAAAAAAAAAAAAAGCATGTTCAGCTAATTGTCATGAGTAAAATCAAAATGTTCATCATGATCAGGCCATACAGTTGCTGCTCTTAACATACTACATTGTTTTGAAGTGTGTGCATAGATTTAGTTATTATAACAATGTACATTTTTAGCTTTGCAATCTGGTCCACTGAAGTTCCCCTCGGCACGTCTCATTCTGCACTGAACAGCTTCTTCCTGTCAGGGTCTGTATAGGAAATGATGTCATTCACAACCCCCGCCTCTTCTGCAAGGGCCTGGTCATATCTTAATGATGAAGTACATAAACAGATCTAAAATAAAGTTCTTAGTAGAACTTTCACATGATTTTACAACTTTTATTGTATCAAAAATATTAAACATTGCAGAGCCCACATACACTTTCAAATTGATGGCATTAGCATATAAATATTAAAGTCTTGATGAAACATATAGCTTGATATTAGCTTGTAAACATAAAATTAGGCTAATGGACCATATTGCTGGACTATAGCAGAATACACAACGTCTGTTTCCTCATAATGTCTGGCTGCTCTTCTGGGTTTCTGTTTTGAGAACCGTGGAGCTGCATACAGTGTTGAATGAGGATCCTGCAACCGATCACAAAGATGCATTTAATAATAGAGCTACTGTAATCTTTCACTTAATAAATTCAAATAATTTTCTCTTATTAAATAAAATTCAAATGCACTTCTGTGTTTCGCAAAATGAAGGCAAAGGTTATTATATATAAAATAGACTTATAGTAGCATCAAACTACATTTAGTGTTGTTACGTAGATTTTATTATTCAGTGGTAATTCTGATGTTGTGGGAATTCGGGAAATAGTCAGGAAAAGAAAAGTGGAATTTAACTGAAATTGTTCCTGATTTGTTCGCA